CCCCCCCCTCCCCCCAGAGCGTGAACCCTGCGGCATCTCTGAACAAGTCTGACCCTTTGGGATCCCAAAAATATTCTTGGGGAACTTAATTCAAGTGTTTATAGAAACCACAGAAAGGCAATTAAGAAGCTTTCCTGCCCAATCATTTTGGCTCATTAAGCAGATGAATTCTCATATACACATGATTCACACAAAATAGTTTGGTGACATCTGTAGCAATTAGCGCAAGAAAGAAAGTTGAAGGGAAAATTTACAAAGGTCATTGTGTTCACTGCCTATTTATTTTCAAACACACGAAGCTTGTCAAATCAGAAATTCTGGTATGTTACTATTGTGGGATGAAAATTTGGTTTCCTCAACTGGAAGAGTAAGAATACTGTCACATTCATTCTACGTTGTTTCCAATAATCCACTGAATAGTAGTATATATCTAGACATTTGAGATATACAAAAACAGCCCGAGGGATCACCATCAACCAACCGCATGGTGAGAGTTGGCCCAAGGAGGCGGTCCCTAGTTTGAAAACAGAAATACGTCTCTCTATAAGCAATAAGTATGAGATATTCCCTCCCCCAAAAAATTGTGTAATAAAATAATTGGAAATTGAAAAGGGTTTTAAATGCAACAGAGAGGTTTCAAGTTAATGGCATGATGGGTTTTTTTTTCATAAATAAATATTTAAAGGTATGGATCTGTTATAAGTGATTAGGTTTCCATATAACAAGGCAACAAAATGTAGCTGATGGACTTTGAAACCAGCCTGCCCAATTTCAAATCCTGACTTCAGTTCCCAACTCAGCAAATTACTTAAATCTCTCTGGGCTTCTGTGTAAAATGGGGATAGTAACAGTCCAGAACCCATGATGGTGTTTGAGGATTAGAACAGTGTCTGGCTGGATAGGCATTTGTTAGAAGGTAAGTAAATAAAATATTTAATATGTCTCCGAAAGTATGCAATTTATACTTTTCAGGGCGTTCTTAGTTGACATATAACTCACTGGGTTCTTAACTTTTTAAAATAAAAATATGAAACATTTCATTTCTTTTATTTCTCAGTAATAACAAATATTTGCTACTGGATAATCCTGCAAGAATACAGGGAAGAAGAAAAATACAAGAACTCTTGAGGCAAATATTTAAATATTTAGTAAAATGAAAAACATCCAGTCATTTAAATCAAAAAGTAATCAAGGCAACGTAGCTCACCCATCTGATGTCTTTTTTTAAATTTTAGAGCAACATAATATAAATTACTAGGATTAAAAATGTGATCGCAACCACAGACATCATTGAAATACTGTGCTTTAAACTGCCTTGGTGCTAACACATAAAATAATTGAGAAAAGAATCAAGTTGGTATATATAAAGATTTATCAGCGAAGCTAGAAGCTGTTTTACTTTGTTTGAAACAACAATTATTGTAAAAAACAATATTTCTGTTTTTTAAATGTTTTTTATTGATTTCAGACAGAGGAACTGAGAGGAAGAGAGGGATAGAAACATCAATGATGAGAAAGAATCATTTTGCACCTACTTCCTACACACCCCTACTAGAGATTGAGGCTGAAACTCAGGCATGTGCCCTGACTGGGAATTGAACCGTGACTTCCTGGTTCATAGGTTGAACGCTCAACCACTCAGCGACACTGGCTTG